CCATTTTCCAAGATTTGTTAAAGGCAGACAGACAACAGATCATTCTTACCTTCAAACACTTCACTTTGCATCCTCCTCCTCACTGACTCATTATCTCTTGGTCTGTTCAGAGTGATAGCACTTTCAGCCAGGGAATGCCAGTGCTTCTGAATAGTGTTTTGTAATCTTAATGCTACACACTAATCTAAACAAACAACTCCAAGAGTAAGACAGCTTCTATTATTTTTTTAAAGGAACCTTACTAAAAGAAGTAAAAAAGCAGTATGTCACCATTAGTTACATACTTTTTGGGAAGCAGGTATGTCAAGCACCTTTTTCTTTTAGATATAAAGCTAAAAATTAGGTAGGCTGAATATATGTCACTTGTTCCCATATGTCATCAAGGCTCTGCAGTATATGCATTACACAGGGCTATTGTTGCTGCCAGTGTAACTGCAGTATACACATCATGATAGCGGCACAAACCATGCTGAGCCAATTCATCCATTACAGTCAATGGTGTTACAGTAGGGATTATTTTGTCCCCCCTATGGTTTATTGTTTAAATGTAGATACTGCATTGTATTATGGTTTTATGCTGAGGAAACCTGTCTAATTTATGCCATTTAATGGATGGTTTAAGCAGAACACTGTTTTGCCTCTTAGGAATCTTCTCCTTGAGATAAAAGCAAATTAATGCAGTTTCCTTACGTTCGAATAACACAGAACTGTATATTTATCACATACCCATGACATTTTATGTGAAATACACATCTACTGCTGGGATCGTAATTAAAAGCAGTCTTAGTTACAGAGTGAAAATTTCTACCAAAATATATTTACAATTGATGAAAGATGACTCTAGGCCCAATTCTGTTAGGTGCTGAGCAATTTGGTTTATACTGATCTCAACAGGAAAAGATTGTTCTCATTACAGGATCAGATACGATGAGACTAAAAATCCAGCAACAGGACATGCATACTGTGAGTTTATCTTCTCAATCAGCTGTGTCCATGGAATGTATTGCTTTGTAAAGAATGCAGCTTTATTTGTTGTCAGGAAAGACTACAGATGGCATCTTCACTCAGAAAATATGCTGAAATGAATTTATTTGCCTAGCACTGACAAAATGTTTCCCATGCAGAAAGTGAATTGACGTCAGATTTTTTAAAGCAAGCGTCACTTACCGAGTCTTTTTCCAGTCTCTTCTGTAGCCTTGTCTGCCACTGGACAGCTTGCATGACGATGGCTTCCCACCTCCTCTCAAGATTTACAATGATCAGCTGCATGGACTGGTGATCTGCATTTAGGTTGCAAGTCTCCTGGTCGTCCAGGAGGTGCTGGCACAATCGCAGCACAGAGGCAACCCCGCGACGTCTCTGCTTGATCTCACAGCAAAGGGACTGCAGGACACAGTGGGGGACAGACATCAGTGTGCAATACTTGGCAAATGAAAACATTATATATTATTTGATATTTAGCGGCGCCTGATCTCTGTCTTGCAAAGGTTTTTTCTAGTTTTTCCATAAATGCTTATGCTTCGTGACAAAGCTTAGTGTTTTATTTTCAGATAACCACAATCTTAATGGCATAGAAAGAGCAAAGCTACTTTCAGTCTTCTTCAAACAAATGCCAGACATAACTAACTGTCTCAATAATGTTGAAAGCTTTATGGTGTAGACTGGTTTATTCTTCCTTTTCTCATTCTAAAGCGACACATCTGAAATGAGTTACTCTGACAGTAATCAACTTCAGAAATTGTTCAGGAAAAAAAAAAGAAAAAAAAAACAGAACAAAAAAGATTCAAACAATTAGAATATATATGTACTTATAGAAGAATCAATAAAATTTATGTTTCGTATGCACCTCGTCTGAGGAGAAACCTTAAGGAAGGAAGAGTAGAGAAGCTGGTATAAAATTTTTCATAGATGTTTTTAGTTATCAGATTATACTTTTAGGACAGTTCTATATCTCAGTAAATGTAGGAATACTATGATAACTTCTCAAAGATGTGGGGTTCATTGCATTTATTTCATTCCACAGGTTCCACGACCTCACATGCGCTACACTATAGGAGAGAATTGCTAGGCCCTAACATTGCTAAGCATTGGTGGGAGTCAGGACCTGCTCTTTATACCCCAGAAAACTAAATAACTGTGCTGAGAATCTCACTGAATACCAGTATAAATAATGTCTCCTCCATGCCAGGAATATAGAGAGATCCACCACCCTGAAGCAGCTGACAGCATCGAGTGCTTTATCTACCAACACAATCTCACGCTACTGCCATTTTACACAAAATCTATACCTTCATCAGCTTGTAATATCTTTTTTACAATAATATCTATAAAGTTGGGTTACCCAAGATGCAAACACTTATAAGGATCACTGCTTCAGCCCGGCTCCAGAGACATGAAACTCTGGAGCACTGCAGGGTTCACGCATGCAGCTACTATGACAGGCCTGTGCTACTCCTAACTTTAACCAGGACCGTGCTCCACACATGGGAGCTTTCCAGATAATTTAACTATAACTTGCCAACATCTGTTTCCCTCTGTGGGATGCCACAGATGAAAGTGCATGACCCTGTGAGAAAATCTCAACGATCATCTTTTTTTAAAGACAGGGTACTCGCCTTTCAGCTAATCCAAAGAAGCCAAAAAAAAAAAAAAAAAAGAAAAGAAAAAGAAAAATCCACCACCTCTCTCAAAATTCAAATCTATTCACACGACAAGCCCTCCTGAATTTCGTTAGCAAAAGAATAACACTATCTAAACAGAGTTTTCTAGATTTTTACATTTTAGTTTTGTATAGAAGTATCTACTTCATCAATAACCCTAAGCTAAAAGTCTAAAGGAAAACAGTGGTATAGGCATCTAAAAATACATATCTTTTTTTCGCCTAAGGATAGTGCAAGTGATTTTTTCATTTAAAGTCTTCAAGAGAAATGACAATTAAACCCACGAACGTTGCTGAATTACTAATCTACTTTCACTGGCACAATTGGACTGTTCTAACAGTTAACAGATTGCTTATTAATCAACAAGGGTAAACAAGACAATGCAATCTCATTTAGAGCAGAAGTTTTAATGCCTAAAAGTATTTGTGTTCAAAATGTTAATCCCGATAAGACTTCATTAGAAGGCGTCTTAAAATGATTAAGTGCATTTCATTGTAAAGTACATTGAGTAGTATATCAGCAGGTGGACATTTCATACAGATGTTCCACTTATTGATATAATGCATTCTATAGCTATTTAAATTACCCTAACTCCATAATAGCTAGAATTCTATTATTTCTATAATGAGAGAACCCTGTACCTTTAATATTTCTGAATTTTAAATAAGGTGAATGACAAATTCCCAAACCACTATTTATGGCAAAATATGACCAGGAATTTTATTATTCAATTTATACCAGAGCTGCATTTTCACTTATGTTTCCTGAACTTGCACTTATTTATTTTCCAAGGGTTCATTACTAGTTTCCTACATAGTTCTTGATGTAACCGCTGTGTCTGACACATTTCCTTTCTGATGCTGTTCATTAGGCTAACATCACATCAGAAAAAAAATCTACCTAAGGATAAAGTCAGGATTCTAATTTAACACTGCACAACAGCAAAGCAATTCAGTTTTATGAAAGCCATGATAAGGTATATACTGATGTCAATTAAATCTATGTAGATCTGCATTAACTTCACAGAAGTCAACAGTGCCCAAAATTTGGTCCCATAACATTAACTTATCTTCTAACCTTGACCTATCTATGTCATCCCTTATAAATATTGGTCATTTGTGACACAATTCCATAAAATATGATGACATAAGGAGTAGTTCATTCATAAGCCACTGTATGTGAGTTTAAGTGATGCCTTTACATTGCATTATATGAAAGCAGAGCCACAGGATCCAAGTCATCTCTAATTTACATCAATTTTACACCAGCACAGTAATACTAGCTTTACTGAAGCTATTCCTGATTTACATGGCCATGACAGTACAATTAGGCCTATGGCACTTTTGTTTCAATTTTATTACATGATATTATTATGGTTAATATTAAACAGGAGAGGAATGAGGTGCTTGTATCTAACCATGTATTCAAAGGGTTGACTATAGCAATACTTTAAAAGCCAGATAATTTAATCATGTAAAGACGTCTTTAAATCCTGTGTAATAACACAGGCAACAGTGAATCTAAGTGTTACTATGGTCTGTTATACAGTGTCCTAAAGGGACATAATAATTGCTTGAATCCTATGACATGACATCTCGTAGTGTTGCATATCCATCCATGTTCTGCAGCTGTTAAAATGGCCTGCTTGTATAAAAGGCTGTCAGTGTGGCGTATGTACCCACAAAGTGTGCTGGCAGGCCCACCACAGTTCTGTCTGCGAGGCATGTTCTACACTGTGAACTAACAGCTATAAGTCATGGTTAATTAAAAACAAAAGAGGAAAAGAAAGAAGGAAAGACATTCTTCTGACAGAGTGTACACCTGAGGAGTATCTCTGCTGAGGTCTGGGCCTGATACTCTGCAGTTGCAGTAGCACCTGTTGGGTACTTGAAAGATCAGGAAATCAGGACCTGGTCTAAGAGTAGACTGAGGAGCCTCACTTAGGCTCTTGTGAGCGAAAGTCTTGCTGAAGTATAAATCAGACATATCTGATTGTGGCTCCTCATAATATGGTGTGTCAACTGAGCTGCAATAACTCCACATACAGACCTTTGCAACTGTGGGAGAAACCCATTCACTTAAATCGCTTGCAGAGAGACTTAAATTAACTTGTTTGACTTTGCTTGCTGCAGGCTAAGAGCATACAGAGCAGCTGCCACGTATGAACTTGACCTTGCAACTGAATCCTTTGCTTTCTAACAGATACCCTGATAACACTGAAGTGTGATTCATTATAATGTTATTACAAGTCATGTTTTCCCACCCGGTGGATTCCTGTCCATGCTGTCAGAATCTTGGGGAGATTTTTCTTCCCTCTGCCCACTCCTATTTTTAGTGCTTTGAAGCTATCACTTGCATAGTTAAAAAAGGCTAGCTGAAACTACTTTCACAGCTTGTTAATATCGTGCCTTAAATCATCTGGAAAAGCTCCTGCTGAGTGGAATGACATCAATTTCATCCATGGGGCTGGAAGTAGCCATGATCTGAACAGAAGGTGTTCTGTACAGCTGCATGATTCCTAAGCAAATGACATGACCAGAAACGTGTGCAGCTTTAGGCAGTTACATGAAGGTTCTTCTGGAGGTGTTCAAAATTAATCATTTAATATTACTAAGATTGTCGGTGAATTCAGTGGACTACTTGCACTTACTATTAGTTTAAAAGTCACCTTAGATTAGCTTAAATACACATAATACACATGTAACCACCATACAAAATGGTTAGATACCATTTCTATAGCACCATTCATAGCTTATAGTTATGGAATTCATTTGTATGAAGCCCAAGTTGTTTCAACCACTTCCGTAGTTCAACCACTTTCTTGCTCTCATTTTACAATCAGGAATACTAAAGACCCATGTAGAGGTGCTGAGAACTTTGAAAAGTGGATGGAAGATGACAAATGTCACACAGATGGATGTTCTTTGTGCTTACAGGTTCAGAAAACCTACCAAGCTATCTCAAGGCAAATGCTATTTCTGGGCTCATGTTGAGTTTCTGTCTATGGGCAATGCTAGATACTCTTAAGAAAACACAAGAAGCCCCACCATAGAAAAACATAAATTACAAACTCTAAGAGGAAGTTCCCACCTAAGCTTGTTCTGTTACAGGTTTCACTCTCTCTCCTTGTCACAAGATGCCTGTAGGGGAGGGAAGGAATTGTATCCTTCCTATTGCACCAGTTGCTGCCTACAGCTAATGCTGGACCTGTTATTTAGTACAACCATGCACAGACATTCATGCAAAATGTGAGAATGGAAACCGAGCTGCTCACAACAATGATCAAATTACAACTCTTCAAAAAAAAAAAAAAAAAATTGCACATGTTTTTTGGCTAGAGCAGCACTTCAGTTTTCAACAGAGCCAATGCAAAACCTAAAGAAACATTGCTAATGCTTCTAATAGAAGAGTAAGGGGAAAACAAGAAACAATTTGTCTTGCAAAGTTTTGGTTTAACTTAGTTTTCAGCATTTTCTGTGAAATGACAATGCATGCTGCCCTTTTGTCCAGGATAATGCTAACCTGTATTTCAGAATCCATTTTTACAAGACACATGGTAAAAATACCCATTTCTATTAGTGAATGAAAAAGAAAACCAGTAATTCCTCAAAAAATATTAGTAAGAAAGTAATTCTTCAAAATAAAAAAGCCAAATGACAAAGATAGGAAATGAATGATGACTTGTCATCTTGTAGAAAAATACTGGCAAACCTGAGTGCTTTT